AGAGTAGGGAGGCAAGAAGTAGTTGCCAATCTAAAATTGTTAGTAGAAGGTTTTGAAAAGGTCTCTAATTTGAGAGTAAATTGGAATAGAAGTTGTGTGGCTGGGATTAATAGGCTAGATGAGCAAGTGCCTTCCTTGGCTAGGACTTTAGGTTATGGGACAACTGAGTGGCCTTTAAAGTACTTAGGGTTATCTCTGGAAGGAAACCCAAAGTCAGAAAGCTTTTGGTACCCAGTCTTGGAAAGACTCATAAAGAGACTAGTAGGGTAGAAGAGGAATTACATCTCATTAGGGGGTAGAATCATTTTATTAAGTCAACACTAGCAAATTTGCCAATGTACTTGTCTACCTTCAAAGTGCCTATTAAGGTTGCAAATTAAATGGAAAAAGTAATGAGAGATTTTCTTTGGGAACGTGGGGATTCAAAAAAGGATCATCTAGTGAAGTGGGAAGTGGTCTCTAGGACAAAAGACAAAGGGGGATTAGGGATTGGAAATGTCCAATTAAGAAACACAACACTGTTAGAGAAGTGGTTATGGAGATTTCCAAAGGAGCAAGAAAGTTTATGGCATAGAGTGATAGAAAACATACATGGATTGGCAACTAATGGATGGGATGCTGGTCTCGACCCTAGGGCTTCTCGTTCCTCCCAGTGGAAAGACATCGTTGGTATCTTGCCCGCCTTTCTCATTTATTCAGGTATGATGCTTGCATGGGTAATAAGGTTCTTTTTTGGGAGGACACATGGATTGGGGGACCATCCTCTTAAGGATAGGTTTCTGACCCTCTACTCCCTTTCTTTGAACAAATTTAAAATCATCTCTATTTTTCATGTCTCTGGAGAGTTGTGGGATTTGGGTTTCAGGAGATGGTTGAGGGATTTAGAAATAGGGTTGGCAGATGAACATTTCTCTCTTCTAAACTTAGTGTTTTTGGACCAATCTTGTCTTGATAGTAGAATTTGGTTAGAAGATTCCTCCGGTTGCTTTTTGTGCTCTTCTTTCTTCAATGCTTTAATGCACTCTTCCAATTTGGTTTACACTTTGCTGTAAAAGAAGTGTGGTGTGCTCCTGTACCTCCAAAGGCCTTACCTTTTGTCGGGAAGTGGTTCTCCAAAAAATCAACACCTTGGATATGCTTAAGAGAAAAAGACCAAATTGGTGCTTATCCCCTCATGTTTGTAGCCTTTCCTTGAAGAGTGGTGAGATGGTAAATCATCTACTAATCCCATGTCCTTTTGTTACTTTTATTTGGGATTGGTTCTCCTCTCTCTTTGGGTGCAGGTGGATTCCTCCTATAAGCGTGGTGAATCTTTTTGAATTTAGCCTTTTCCGTCAACCAAAGATAAGAGAAGGGTGATGTTGAGAACAACGAGGGCAGCAGTTATTTGGACAGTGTGGGAAGCGAGAAAAAACAGAATCTTTCGAGGGCAAGAAAAAACAACACATGAACTCATAGAAGGGATCACCATCAAGGTTGTACATTGGCTGAAATTGTTGGGGGTGTCTTTGGAGATGGGGAAGGAAGAGTCCTGGCCCTGTTTTCTGGCCCAATAGGTTTGGGGGATTCTCTTAGAGCAGAAGTTTTGGCACTAGTACAGAGGCTCAAACTGACTAAACAACTGGGCTTTCAACAATTGGAAGTGGAGGGAGATTCAAAGTTGGTAATAAGCTGGATGCAAACAAACAATTTGGCACCTGGTCCCTTAGACAACCTATAATGGAAATTATGCACCTAACATGGGAGCTTGAAGTCTGCTTTAAATGGGCTAGGAGATCAGCCAATGCAATAGCCGATACTTTGTCAAAGCAAGGAGTTAGCAGGGAAAACCTTTTCTGGGCATGTTTGTAATTTATTTTTATGTCGAAGGGTCACCTTGATTATGAAGGTGACAGTTGTACTAAGTCTCCTTAAGGATTAATGAAAGTTAACGTTTCCTATCAAAAAAGAAAAAAAATGTACTCTCACATCCATGCCTTGTGTCACACATTTAAACTTCTTTTTTTACTGTTATATTTATACAGCCCGACTTCTTCCTTTTGTAGCTAACCCACCACCAGCTTTGAATCTCCATCTATAACCAACTTACTAATGTGCATATCGTTTGGCTCTTTACAGCCTTTCCATCATGGCCAAAACCTCAGCCCTCAAAGAATCCCCTACACCTATTGGCACTGAAAACAGACCAATAATATTGCCCTCCTCATTCCTGAAATCACCGCCAATTCCTCAAGGAGCCAGATTGCTTGTTCTACTCCCCATCAAAATTTAGCTTAGTGAAGCCCTGGGGTGGTGGGGACCAAATGGGAGTACAGCACTTGTAACAGTCTTATGTCGATCTGAACAAGCCACTTCCCTCCAATTTCTCATAATTCCATTGAAAAACCAGCAAACAACTAAGTATTTAACCCACTGAACCACCCTAACAGTGATAGTCTTAACTAACTAGTTGATGCTTTGATAACATTGCTCGTATCTCCTCTTTGTTCATTTATTAATAAAACTTATTTTGTGTTTCCTGGGGTGGTGGGGACCAAATGGGAGTACAGCACTTGTAACAGTCTTATGTCGATCTGAACAAGCCACTTCCCTCCAATTTCTCATAATTCCATTGAAAAACCAGCAAACAACTAAGTATTTAACCCACTGAACCACCCTAACAGTGATAGTCTTAACTAACTAGTTGATGCTTTGATAACATTGCTTGTATCTCCTCTTTGCTCATTTATTAATAAAACTTATTTTGTGTTTTCCAAAACAAAGTTGTCTAGTTTCAGAATGAACACTCAAGACCACCCTCATCACATCATCCTTAGAAATCATGGCATCCCTCTCCTCCCAAACAGATCAAAGCAAGGTTGCTTTCATACCACATTAGTGGGAGATGAATTGGCATCAAATAGGGCAATGACATTAAATACCTGATTCAAAACAGTAGATCATAAAAATGATAATGGCCAAGTTGATCTTTTGCAATGGCACATCGCAGGTTATTAGTCTTGAGCTTCAAGTGCATCCCTTCCCTGCCAAAAAAGCTCTTATTTTGGGAGAGTTAAGACCAAGTCAGATTTCCTGTACGGGAAGTATCAGGGAAGATGATTTCATTGGGATTAAGGGCTTTAAAGAGAGATGACCATCTTTAGCACACATTGGGAGCTAGTTTTCATTAGACTCCAAGATCTGCAGACTCACTTGCTGATTCTCTAGCTCATGGAGGAGTCAATAGGCAGGCAATGGAATGGGGCCTTTGCGCTGAAAAATGTATTTGGGTCAAGGAGCTACACCTTTTGTAATACATGGTGAATAAAGACTATATATTGTTTCAGTTTATATTTGCATCTATAAAACTTATCCAGTTACTGGGAAAAAAAGAGCAAGAAAAGCTCCCCTAAGGGTCAAAAGACCTAACTCTTTTATTAGATATAATTAAGTCTTCCATGGCAGTTGAAGGTGAGGGTGGACCTTGGCGCAATGGTTGGGTTGCTCCATTGTGACCTGGGTGACCAGGGTTCAAATCTTGGAATAGCCTCTATGTATGTGAAGGGGTAAGGCTGTGTACATCTGTCCTTCCCCAGACCTCACATTTGGTGGGAACCTTGTGTACTGGGCTGCCCTTTTATAACAGTTGAAGGCCAAATAAAGTTATGTTTAACTTAATTAGAAATAGTAAAAATATTGCATCAAAAGGTCATTACCCAATGTTGGTCCCAGCTATCTGGGATCTTGGGAGGAGTGGAACTCGAACTCGGAATCTCACACATGCCAGCTATCTGGGGTCTTGGGAGGGGTAAAACTCAAACACGTGTTCTCACACTTGCCAGCTTAGAATTTTGCCATTATACCAAGCAATGACCCTTTAATGAAGAATGCATACACACACACACACCAATCATTCTCTAAACAGTTGAAAATTTAGAAAGGTAGAAGGCATAGCTGCCTTGAAACAATTTTATTATATGTATTATAGAAAAAATCAACATAATTTCCCCTTGGGTAGGTAATAAGTATTACCCAAATAGCTCAACATTCAAATGGCTGGTGCGGGAAATGGAAGTTAAGACATGTTAGATTAAGAGATCAGCTAATTCCCTAGCTGACGGTTTAGCAAAACTAGGGGCACAAAGGGATTCCTTGTTTTGGGCTAAGTTGTAATGTTAGTGTCCTTGTATCTTTGTATTTTCTTCTTTCCTTTCTTGAAGTTCTTTGTGACTCTTGGAAGATAAGTGTGTTTGTCTTCCACTTGTAAATTTTCTTGATGGATTAATGAAAGTGTTATTGATAAAAAAAAAAAAAAAAATAGCTCAACATTTACCAAAAAACCTGGTAGATGTCTGTATGTTCATCCATAAAATTACTATCAAGTGGGAAGTGAGGTCTTTAATGGTAGAGAAAGCTTTGCAGGTGATCTTTCTAATACAGTTATTGCTCCTTATATGAGGGGTGCTGGCAATCAAGAAGTACTGGATGTGGGCAACATCTTGGTGGTTCTCTGATTATCGTCATAGATCTGGTTTTGCTGTTGAGGATAGGTTGGGGTTACGGTTCTAAGGTGGGGAAAGGAACAAAGAGACTGCTTTTGAGCATGCACATATACATATATGTGTGTGAGTTTTTTCTCGAGTTGCATCAGTTGCAGAGCCCACCTTTATTTTGAACGAGAAATCTATGCTTCTGGAAACATGATGAAAGCTGTGGTCAATCAACCCCGGCCCGCCCGAACGGTCAATCTACTTGCTGGACTGGCTTGATGCTTAAATGTCACTAGCATAGCTCTAAACCACAGAAAGCACCTTGTTTTTTATATAAAAAATCGTAGTCTGAGTGTTCAATGAATATATGGAAGTAGTGAATAATTGCTCATTTTGTTTAACCATTCACCATTTTTCATCTTTTATAAGAGAATATTAGATCTTTTCTGACCACATATGCATGTATTATAGTGTTGCTCCATTGTTATTAACTGCAGTACTCTCTGACAGGAAAATGATGTTATTTTGCAGGTTTAAAAATGGAACTAGGTGTAGAAAACTAGAGTAGAGAGGCTGCAGCTTCAATTCCACTGACAAACGTTCTTAGTGTGAAATCCGCAGAGGTGGGTTCCATCTTTGTTTCTATCAACTTCATGGATGGAAAAAATGTAATCATGTCTTCATCTCGGCCCACCTTCCCTGTACTTGTCATTTAACGGATTTTTGAATGCTTCCCTTCATGTCTAACACTAGCCTGAACACGTAAATAATTTTCAATAGAGGCCTTTGCTTTTAGGATCGTCTTCCTCCCCTTCTACAAGGTACAACTCTTAACGTTTTTCACAATCCCTGTGGTCCTGGTCCTGGTAGTTCGTTGAGAGTGGGTAATTTGGATTTTGGATCTCTTGTGTATATTTATTTACTATGATCTCATTATTTTCTTTTCTCCTGGAAAGGTGAATTTAGTTGTAATCAGTATAGATCCCGGATCTCCTAACAAAAAACCGTCCCAACACGTTTGGGGGGGGAGGATCTCAACGGGTTCAAACGTAATTTAGAGAAGGAAATAATCTGCTGTTCTTGCTGAAAACCTGTCAGCTGTAGACTGTAGCCAACAGTCATGAGAGTATGATGATCTAAGGCTGTGTTTGGTTGAAAGAAAAGGTAGGGTAAGGAAGGAAACTTAATGAAACCTGTACAAACCTTGTATTAGGTTTCCTTCCTTTTCCCTTCCTTTTCCTAACTTTTTCTTTCAAATCAAACACAGCCTAATGCACAATCCAATAATTCCATCATTTATACTGTTATTTGGGTATATTTGTCTTTTCATGCTTATGCTAGTGCTTCCCTGGTCCCTCTCTAGGCATGTGCAGAGCGGAATGGCGAAACAGGATATCATGTAAATGGTAATTGGGACAAGGCTTAGATATAATTTGGATATACGTCTTTGTGTGCTCATGCTAGTGCGGCCCTTGCCCCTCGGAAGGGACGTTCTACATTTTATTAATGATGATAGAAAGGAATGGCAAAACAGAACATCTGATGTTTCCCATGCACGGTGGATGTGCATGTGAGGCGCTCAAGTGTGAGGAGCAGATAATATTTGAGTTAGAAATGATCTCCTGAAAGCATGGCCATCCAGCTGTACATTGAAAATATTTTCTCATGAATTTAACACATCTTGTAGATAATTCTGTTTTTGCTTTTGGCTGATCTGGACTTGATTTATATATATTTTTATTTTACATGGGCTTTTATTTCATTAGCTTCTGTTGCTCATTTCATGAGATTGTCCATGTTAAAGCGAAGCATTGAAGGTGGTGGAAACTGAAAGGGGGGGGGGGGGGGGGACAAAGAAAAGGTGCTGCCTGGTTACCCTGCCGCTTTCTTTTTGTACATAAACTTCCCAAGTTTTATTTAAGCTTTATACGGTCAGCCTATCACCAAACTGGTCCCATCTATAATTAAAGAAAACCAACAAATTCAGGACTCCATCAGTCTTCATGGTATCTCTTCCTACTCGATTTATAAGAGGCGCATAAATAAGTTCTGCTCGTTTTTCTTAGCTGACTCTTGACCCGGCCAGTCAAACCATTCGGACCATTACTTGGTCAGGATTCTAGGTCTGGTTAGTCAAGACCCATTAGATGATAAAAAATTGTAAACTTGGTCAAGAATTGTTCGACCCGGTCATCGGGTTGTGGGTTGTACACAATGTATGCAAACTTTTGAAGGCCATAACTTTGCACTCGAATCTTCGATGTTTGATTGGGGTGATTTTTCTTTTTTTTTTTTTCTTTTGATTCTGGGTAACTTTTCAAGATCTATGCGTCTCAAGGTATCGTAAGCACCTTGCCCCGCTATTTTCGTAAAAAAACCCCTTTTTGGCCTCAAATTATAATTTTTAATATTTTTTAAATAAAAAATAAAAAATAGAGTAAAAAAATATAAATTAAATATAAAAATACATATAACATATCTAAAACACATTTATACACCCGGAGGTAAAAACAGTTCAACCTCTAGGTCGGTTTTTAAAATGTTGATTTTGATTCTACATTGCACGTGATGTCATTGCCCGTTGGTTATGGCTATTGTTTAGAATAGAAAATAATAATAAATGAGGACAAACATTATCAAATCACGGTTCCTTGGTCTAGTGGTTAGGACATTGGACTCTGAATCCAGAACAAGTTGGTGCATGCCCCTGCAACTCCTAAGCCATTATTAAATCCTAACAAAGGTAAATGCTTTAAATAAGACAACTGCTTAACAATATCTATATTCAAATGGAACCATTCTGACCATCAGTTTTCGGGTTATATAGTTTGGCCGTTCAGTTTAAATGGATTGTCAGTTCTGATTAAAAATAATTTAAAAAATAAATAAAATAAAGAAACAGTAAAAAACGTTGTCCGGGTCAATAGTTTGACCACCTGGGTCAGTGATGAGTTGCTAACTAAATCAGCGGTTTTAGCCCATGAGCAGTTTTAGGATGAAATAGAACCAGTTACCTGACCGATTCCTGGGTCAATCGATTCGATCATCTGATCCGATCCGATTTTCAAAACCATGATTAAAAGAAGTTATCCCATTTTTCTCTGCAGTCTAGTTGCATTTTCATTTTGGCTTAAACGTTTTCACTAGTTATTGAATAGGTTGCATGACCTACTTATCTCTCCAACTTCTATGATTTGAGTGGTGGCATCAGACCGTTAAAATTGAAGGCTAGAAACAAGGAATATTGGATTCAACACTTGTTGGGCTATGATTCCGGAAAGACATATAAAATTCAACGAGGGAGGGGGGTTTGATTGGTCAGATGCTTTCCCTCCCTCTTTCTGGCATCATATATTTTTCCTTCTAAGAATAAGTCTTTTTTTTTGGCTTGAGAAGTCCTGATGCAAATACGTTTCGGATGATGTAATATACTAATATTTTAATGGTTAAAACCATGCTATTCAAGCTAGAGCGTATGGCATCTGAAGTTAATCAATATGTTTTTAAAATTGGTTAGTTTCTTCATATTTTTATCACTTTACATTTTGAAAAGTCATAGGGACACCTCTTTATCATGCACACATGAATATTAATATTCACTAGATTCTACAATGTTGAACAATAAGACTTTTAATTTCTAGTTGAAAGAAACGTTTTAGTAGTATACAGGAGTGAATACATTGTGTTGGAATCTATTAAAAACCCTGCAAAATTGCCTCGCACATTCTTAAAGCATGGGAATCCAGTGATACATTGGGAATATTTCTCCATGAATTTAACATACATGTACGAGAGATATTCTCAATTTACAATTGGATGTTACATGTGCAGAGTTTTTGCTTGTGGGAGATCGGTCTCCATGGAAATTACATCCACCAACTTTCTTACCAGCTAAGCCAATTGGTACTGTTGAACAGGGATGGTAGTTGAAATGGCAATTTGGTAAAGATAAACTTTTAGTGTGCAGTACAAGAAATATCCCTCGTTCAAATTTGTAGTGAACTATTGATTTCTTCTAATTGTGGGTAAACTTGGGATTGAACCCTACTTGCACCTGGGTTGAGAGGTTTATGGGTTTGGGGGATAGGCTATGCATTGAAATCTAAAAGTTCAAAGTGGGTCTTTGTTGCAAATGAAAGTTTAAGGGCTAAGTGTCACTAGTCCAAAATATAAGATACCAGTCTAATTTCACCTTTTAATTTGGGGCTTAAAATGCCAAAATTATCCATGATATAGGACACAGTAGTATTGGAGGTATATCCCGTATCAGAGGTGTATCATACAATACACATATTTGACTCCCTATTTAAAAAGGGAAAATCTATGATGTGGAAAAGATATGGTATGGAAAGAGTTTTGACCAATCAAAACCCACCCATGAATTTTGATAAATAACACCTGATTGGCTACCATGTTTATAATTTCAGTTGACTGGTTAGAAGTTTTTCATATATCATATCTTTTCCATATCATAGTCGAACCCATTTAAAAAAGAGGAGCTAGTAGAATTTGATTTCAAGTCACCTAACGCCCAATATTTAAATGTGTCATTGGCCACTAAGTCACCTTTCACTTTATAATAATAAAAGAAATAAATTAAATTTTTAACTTTAATGTCTCATGTGCAATCTAAATAAATAAATTATTTAATATCAAATTAAAATTTTATCAATTATTATTAGTATTTTAATTTCCATTAGATAACAACACAGTTATTATTTACAAAATATTAGAGAATATAATATAAATTGAATTTATCAAATCCACTAATCTACATTTATATCAAAAAGTTGATTTTATATTTTAGAAAATTTAAAGAAATAAAATATTAATAACGGAATAACTATTTTAGTAATTAAAGTTTACAAATTTTCATATGATATGTATCCTTAAATTTTAATAGATTTGATATATTTTAAGCTAAGATTATACATTTTTGTAAATTATTAATAGATATTTTAATTTGCATTTTATAATAATATATTTTTTATTTACAAAAATAAAAATATTATTTACCAAACATTTGAAAATTAAATTTTTAATTGACTATTTTGTTAACGGTAAAAATTAAAAATAATAAAATATAAAATAATTCATATAATAATTCAAATATAATGGTTTCTTATGTTTTGTGCCTTAGATATAGATAATAAAATTATAGCAGCTTTGTGCATTTATTAATTTAAAAATCTTATAATGTTTCTTTGACTCTTGATTGATGTATTATCAATAAAATTATATGATATCTATGCATCCTACTATATTAATTGTAATGTATTACTTCATATATACCATAAGATATACATTTCATATGTATTTATACATAATTTATGGCTAATTTGATATTAAATTTAGTATTATTAATATATTTATAGAATTCATATAAATTTTCTTAGTATATCCAAGTGTTTTTATATTTTTAGCTCATTCTCAATAAATATCTATATTGATATCCATATCCAAATTGTTCAATAAAATACTATATGATTAATTAAAAACAAAGAACAATGATGAATGATCTAGGCCCCTAGCAGTTTGCAAAAAAAAAAAAAAAATCTAGGCCCCTAGCAGTTTACAAAAAAAAAAATCTAGGCCCCTAGCATTATTGATTAGTGAGTCATAAGGGCCCAACCTTGGATACCAAAAAGAAATGATTCCAATGCAAAATCATTTATTCTAAGGGAAAATTCTAGATTAGTACTTTGTACTTTGGGTCTAGTGTCACTTTGGTCCTCGAACTTTAAAATGCAACAATTCAGTATCCGAACTTTCAAAACGTGAAAATTTAGTACTTGTCGTTAACTAGCTCTTAATCAGTCGTTAAGTGACATTTTAAAAAGACACAAACTACCATTCTAGTGTCATCTAATTTTCTTTATCAATTATCCAAACATTGACAAAAAATTAATAGTCCCAAATCCTTGCCTCTTCTATTCATGGTTCAA